GTTTCATCACGTGCCTGTTTCATCACACACCTGTTTCATCACACACCTGTTTCATCACGTGCCTGTTTCATCACGCGTCTGTTTCATCACACATCTGTTTCATCACGCGCCTGTTTCATCAAGCGCCTGTTTCATCATGCTTCTGTTTCATCACACAACTGTTTCATCAGGCACCTGTTTCATCACGCATCGATTTCATCACGCACCTGTTTCACCATGCACCTGTTTCATCACGCGTCTGTTTCATCATGCGCCTGATTAATCACATGCCTGTTTATTCATGCATATGTTTCATCACCCGTCTGATTCATCATGTGTCTGTTTCATCATGCGCCTGCTTAATTACACGCCTGTTTCATCATGTACCTGTTTCATCATGTACCTGTTTCATCATGTGCAAGTTTTATCCCACACCTGTTTTATTACGTTTGTTCATCACGCATCTGTTTCATCACAAGCCTGTTTTATCACACACCCATTTTATCAAACACCTGCTTGATCATGCACCTGTTTTATCATGTGCCTGTTTCATCACACACCTGTTTAATTACGCGTCTGTTTCATCATGTACCTGTTTTATCATGCACCTGTTTTTTCATATGCCTGTGTTAAGTTATTTTCTACAGATGTTTTATGTTTTATTGTAGCCAGTATTATTTCTGTTGGAAAAAGGTTTATCTCTGACAGGTTGAGGACGTTCATTGTATCCTGTTATTTTGAATTGTTTCATATTTTTGTGTCTTTTTTAAAACACCTGTTCTCAAAGCATGTTCACTTGTTTTATTTTTGTGACAGAAACTCAGGAGTGTCCAACCCTGGCTCATCACCAAACTGCTGCTGACGACCAGTTCTCTGAGTGCACGGGGACCAGAGCTGACTTGAGAAAAACTCTAACCTCCGGAGGAGACTGTGAACTCTGCAGAAAGAGGATGTCATGTCGCTGATCATCAGGTCTGTACGAGCAAAGATGGAGTCAGAAATAAATCATAAAATATAAAAAATACAACAAAATCTTCTGTTTGTCCTCTTCTTCATCAGACGGGTTCAGAAGCATCACGAAGGAGAATACCTGATCAGCTTGAGGTAATTCGCTGTTTACACTTACACACATTATTTAAATTTACACACATTATTTAAATTTACACACATTATTTACATTTACACTTACAGTTTACATGTTTATACACAGTTTCCATATATACTGGTACACACGTTTTAAATATATACTCACTATTTACATTTACAAATGCTGTTCCTATTTATACATGCTGTTTACATACTATTTACATACAATATTTACAAACGCTGTTTACAGTTACATACTCTTTCTATTTGTACACGCCATTTATATTTACAAATGCTGTTTACATTTACAAACTCTGTTTACAGTTATACACACTGTTTACATTTATATACACTATTGACGGTTGTGCATGCTGTTTACAATTACACACTATTCAAGCATGAATCAGAGCAGGCTGTGTGTAAAAATAATCCGGTATGATCTGCAGGACAGGATTACACAGACCCCTCCCCCACCCAGAATCTATCCATCAATAATCCATCTGCGTTCTATCTGTGATCTATCTGTAAACAATAATCTATTGTTGAAGTCCCTGGTTCCCCATAATTTAAATTTTTACTTTTTTAAATCAAAATATAATGAACATTACATCCCCCCACCCCCAATACACACCTCCACCAGGTTTCAATGACGGAACTCGAACAGAACTACAACTGCTGGACTAGAACCTAAAGTCCTGCTCGGAGACTCTGTGTTTGTTTGGAATAAAGTGGACGAGTGCAGCGCTGCGGCCCAGCTGACTGTCACAGGAGGAGGAGGAGGAGGAGGAGGAGGAGGAGGCAGGTGAGGATAAAGTTTATTGTTCAATTCCACCTACTTTCAAATTAACTGCTAATCCTGGAGGTTCACATACTTTTGCTGCTCACAAATACGTCATATTGGATCATTTTCCTCAATAAATAAATGAACAAGTCTAATATTTTGTCTCATTTGTTTAACTGGGTTCTCTTTAGCTACTTTTAGGACGTGTGTGAAAATCTGAAGATGTTTTAGGTCCGGTTTATGCAGAAATGTAGAAAAGGCTTCACAAACTTTCAAGCACCACTGAACTGTCTTCACAATGTCCTTCCATCCTTCATACCAACCTCTCAACCAACTAAAGTTCTGTTTTCTTTAGTGCCGACTCAGACGGCTTCAAAGGCTTACTTTCTGCTCTTCGTTTCTGTCTGCATGTCTGTCAGGGAGCTTTGAACTAATCAGATTCAGTGTTTGTGCTCTGTAACAACTGGCAGCTTTAAAACCAACAATCACTCAAAGAACAATAGAAGAAGAGTTCCAGAGATAGACAGAAGAGAGAATGAGAGGAAGAGGAGGATGAAGAGAAACGTTGTGTTCAGGGTCAGTTTCGTTCACATCACTTCATTCATGCCCATAAAAGGGAAGTTGAGTCATTTATGATGCAACATGAACAATCTGAGTTCAGCTCCTCTTCCTCCTGGTCCTCGTCCCTCCACTCTGAGGGGGCGGAGCCTGACTCTGTTTATTCTCTCCTCTTTTCATCTCTCCGTCTCTCTCTTTGCTTGTTTGTCCAGAGCTGCAGGTCCAGGAGAAAGAGGAGGAGGAGGAGGCTCAGCTGGTGCCCCTGAGCTGAGAGGAGGAGGACGAGGCGGCAGTGTCAGTCAGCAGTGGCAGGAGGCCAGAAAGGAGCAGAACCTGCATCTCCTGGACCAGGAGGACAAGAAGAGGAAGGAGGAGGAGGGAGCTCCCCGAGGAACCCTCAGGCACTGTGTGGAGACCAGAGAGCGGCGGGAAGAGGAGCTGAGACAGAGGGAGGTGCAGCAGCTGGACTTTTGCTCACTGCTGGGACGCCAGAACCTTTAGACCTCCAGCACCTCCTCAGACCAAGGCCGCCTCATGGATTTTAAGTCCAACCTCAGGAGCGTGAAAGCCAAGACGGAGGAGAAGGTAAACTCCTCGCAGCAGGTGGACTTCCGCAGTGTGTTGGGGAAGAAGGGTGCCGCCAGCACCAACGGCAACAAACCGTCCAGCACTCCCACAAAGACCGCCGCAGACTTCCACTCGGTCCTCGCCAACAAGAAGAAACCACCGAGCCCCGAGAAGAACGGAGAGGAGGTCAACATTTGCGTGGATGGAGAGGTCGACGAGAAGAAGAATAAAGGAGGAGGAGGAACTCCAGAGTTCTTGGAGAGCCTGAGTGATCTGACGGTTGTGGACGGTCAGCGGCTCCGGCTGCAGTGCCGCCTAGCCCCCGCCGCCGCCGAGGCTGCTGTCACCTGGACGCTGGACGGAAAGGTCATCAAACCGTCCAAGTTCATCATCCTGTCCAACGAAGGTCAGAGGTCGCACTCACAGGTTACACTCACACACACAGGAGGACATGTCAACAACATGTTAGGAAGTGAGAGCTGGTGACGGAGGAGGACGAGGAGCAGCTGCTGATGAAGCTCAGAGGATTCAAACTCTTTTAATAGAACGCAGATGTGAGACAAAAGGATGTGATGGTCGAGGATCGCTGCTATTTCAGAAGGAAACAGATCCTTTTACACACACGCACATGCACGCACACACAAACACACACATGGTCTTAACTGTGCTCTCCACATCCACATCCATCATTCCAGCTGGTCATGTGACCGGCTCTATTTCTGACCGGGGTTCTGTGATTCTGTGGTCCGATGGTTCTGTTCACATAAAAACACAAACATGTGACTCGAGGGCCCGAAGTTTCCGTCTGACCCCTGATGTTCTCTAAAAAAAATTAATTGGGTTTATAGCAGTGACATCTTTCTCCAGCAGGGGGTGCTGTTCACGTTTTAGACCAGAATTAATAAAAACACTAGAGGGCGCTCTGCCCGCCCCGCTCGTCCTTTACGTCTTTGACATCGTGAAGAAGCTAAGATGGCGTCCAAAACGAACCAAAACAACAGCGAGCCCAACTGGATCTGTCACAAACGATCAATATCTTTACAATGACTTGATATAATTCATCATTAATGTTCATTTAGACAAACATGTAAAACAGCTCGATGTTATGGAAGGAAAACAAATTAAAATAAACTAACGATGAGCTAAACTCGACCTGTGGTCCGTCAAGATTTTTAGCTGCTTCAGTCACTGACGTCAACTAGTTGATGAGTTTGAAACTATTTAAAAGTGTAAACAATGTTCATGTGGGCTCTGCTAGCTGCAGCTAACTGCAATAATTAGTGTCTAATCTATTCCTAAGATTAAAAAGAACATTTTCAGGATTCACGCAGAGAGAACAGAATTGTTACCACCAGCAGCCTGGACTCGTTAATAATTTGTACTGAACTGTAGCACGATTCATCCTGTATGTCACAGCAATGTCTGCCACAGAAGCTACAATCTACGAGTCAATTCAATAATTAACGACCAGTAAATCAGCTTTAAACTGGTCCATTACCAACTTCAGTTCTGGTCAGATAATCACATGAGGTAAATAAGATCAGATCTGCTGATTGTGGAAGGAGACGTATTTTCCCTTTTCTCCTCTGTTGCTACATCCGTAGGACACACAGCCTTCTGGTAGTTTTACATTTTATATATAGTCTAATATTATATTACTATATTACAGACACTTTATCATTATTTACATAGTCAACCCTTACTCAGGTCTATTTAGTCAAAACATTTCATTAATTTAAAAAGTGCAGATGTTTGACCGTTTGGGTAATGGCCCTCGTAGCTGCACTGAATCACAAGGTCTTGTGTCCAGAGCGCCCTCTGGTGGTTCATAGAACTCTGTTTTAGAGGTTTTCTTGGCCAGGTGAGAAAGGTCAAAGGTTATTTTTTATATTAACTCAGTTACAGTGCTGTCTAGTGGCACCATTGGATTAGTGTTCACTGAGGAAACCATAATTTTATCTTTCGGTGGTTCCAGCAGTTTTAGTGTTCTCCACAGAACCTCCTGAAGTCCTTCAGGTTCCTCAGCTGCAGATGGAAGCTAGAAGTTTCAGCTTCTCCACAGATTCTCTACAGAACGGAGGTCTGGAGACCAACTCGGCTGATCCAGAACCTTAATGTGTTTCTTCTCTGTTGTCTTGATGGGATGTTTTGGGTCGTTCTCCAGGCGAACACCCATCTACTCATCTTCAGTGTTCTGGCTAAAGGACAAAGGTTCTATGCCAAGATTTTAGGGTACATGGCCATGTCCATTGGTCCCTTAATGCAGTGACATCATCCTCAGCAGAAACACCCCAAACCATGATGTTTCCACCTCCATGCTTGACTGTGGGGTGGTGTTCTTTGTTTGAGTCATACTCAGCATTTCTCTTTCTCCAAACTTAGTGGGTTGAGTTCTGGCTGAATCACTGGATTTTGGTTTCATCTGACCACAGAACCTTCTCCCAAACCTTCTCCAAATTGTTTAGATGTTCTCTGAAACTGAAGGCCAGTCTGTGCCTGAACCTTCTTCAGCAGACAGGAAGCACATTTACCACACAGAGACTTGAATCTTTTTCTGTAATAAACACTGATGTGAACTGAAGAGCTGAAGCTCTAAAGCTCATTCACCTCTGAGGTCAGAACTCAGATCTGGTTCTGACGACATTCAGAACTTATCGTGTTTCAGTCACACCTCACAACAACAACACATCAGTGTGTGCCCGAAGTTTGTGTGACCTCTGACCTTTAACATCCAACACTTCTTACACGCCTGCAGAGATGGACAGGGGTTGTCCTGAAGCCTGAAATAACACACAGAGGGATTACTGCTCCTCAACAACAACACCCCCCCCCCCCCCCACACACACACACACAGTCCAACCCCACCCTGTCCATGATTTGCTGCGATGTTTGTCCTCAGAAGTTGTCATCTTCAAATATCAGCTGGAATGTTGCTGACCTCAGAATCCAACATGGCCGCCCCACACATCAAAGACAGCTTCTGCAATAATCTAAATGTTTTCCATCTGTTGGTTTGTTTATGTTTACATGAGTCAAACAGAAATGTTCAGCTTCTGTCAGGAAACATGTTGCTGCAGAGTTTAAGAACACAAAAACATGCTGAGTATAGTTTACTCAACACAACAACTAACAGGGCCGGCTGCTTGTTTGCTGGTTGTTCTTTGTGGTTGTAGTTGTTGTTGATGCTTCATGTTGTTGTTGTTGTTGCTTCATGTTGTTGTTGTTGTTAATGATGATGCATGTTGTTGTTGTGATGCATGTTGCTGTTGCTGCTGCATGTTGTTGTTGTTGTTGTTACTGCATGCTATTGTTGTTGATGCAGTTGTTATTGTTACATGTTGTTGTTGTCATTGTTGTTGTTACATGTTGTTCTTCTTGTTGTTATTGTTGCTGTTGTTGTTTGTTGCTGCATGTTGTTGTTGCATGTGTTTGTTGTTGTTTATGTTGTTGCACATTGTTGTTGTTGTTGTTGTTATTATTATTGTTGTTATTGTTATTGTGGTTGGTGCACATTGTTGTTATTGTTGTTGTTGCATGTGGTTGTTGTTGTTGTTGCATGTTGTTGTTATTGTTCCATGTGGTTGTTGTTGCATGTTGTTGTTGTTGCATGTTGTTGCTTCGTGTTGTTGCAGGTCCTCAAAAGTCCTAAAGATGATGGGTTGTTGTGTTTTTCAGGAGGACTCTGCTCTCTGACCATCGACAAAGCTCTGCGTGAAGATGAAGGACTCTACAAATGCAGAGCGGAGAACTCAGCCGGCAGAACCGAGTGTTCCTGCACGGTTCTGGTTGACGGTAAGAAATGAGATTCTCCACACACATCGTAGATCCAACAGCTAAAGAAAGACCTGCTGTTAGAGGTCCGATCCAGACCTTAAGGATGGTTCCGATCCTGCAGTGAGGCCAGAGTTCAGGTCAGCGTCTGAGACCACTGCAGCTCCGGTCCAGTCAGAACTTTAAACTGATCCGGACTGAATCAGATTCTAAAATGATCCAAATCTCAAGAAAACACCAACAGGTCCCACTAACTCAAATAAAGTCTGGATCCGGGTTCTGATCCAGTAGCTCTAGAGCCTCCTCCAGCAGCAGAACCCTCAGTGGGTTTCTGTAGGTCTTCATCAGTCTCTCTCCTGGTTCTGGAGGAGTTCTGGCCCACTCCTCTTTCCATCGTTGAGGTTTCTGCTCAGCTCTCTGAGAGGTCCACCACAGTGTTTCAGTGAGGTCGAGGTTCTGGACTTTGACTGGACCACTGCAGAACATTGGTTCAGTTCTTTCTGACCCGTTCTGCTGCAGTGTTTGGGATTATGGTCCTGTTGGACCCAGGTTGGTCCAAACTTTAGCTGTTGGACAGATAAACTCATTTGACTCCAGAACCCTTTGGTCTGCAGAGGAGTTCCTGGTCCACTCGGTGACAGACAGAAACCCAAACCATCAGCCTCCACCACCGTGTTGACAGCTGGGAGGAGCTGTTTGCTGCAGTGCATTCTGGGTAAACACCTGTCCTTCGTCTGGTTCTGGTCCAGCAGTCTTGTGGATCCTTCAGATGAAGCTGTCATGTTGTTTTTAGAGAGAAGGTTCAGGTTTTATTGGAGATTTAGAGCCTGATAAAACCAGATCCGGTTTATTCTGACCCGATCTGAGGGTGGACTCGCTGGTTGACACGGGTCTCCTCCCTCCTCCTCCTTGTTCCCAGAACTCCTCAGGACGCTCCGTCTGTTTGGAGCTTCCTGTAATTAGAAACAAACACAAACTGCAGCGATCATAGATCTCTGGAGATTCCTCGAAATGGACCAACACAGCTGGTTCTGCAGCTTAGGAACGTGGACTGTTTGGGTCCACGGAGGCCCTGGTCCCTCCAGTTGGACTGTGCTCTGTGTGGCTTCTTCTGCTTTCAATGTCTGTCGGTGGAGAGGAACCTCAGAGATGTTTGTTTGTCTTTAGACTGTGGCAGGAAATACCTGTCAGCTGATTCAGAACCTGCAGAACCATCAAGTCTGGTTCTGGATCAGATCAGAAAACAGAAGAATTACTAATAAAACTATTTTATTAAGTAAAAAACATTAACGTTTCAGGACTGGTGGATTTTAAACATTTATTAAAAAAACTGAATTATCTGTGAATATTTAAAAGCTGAGGAGTTTCAGGTGGAGGAGAGAACTTATGGAACATTTTGACGTCATCTTTACAATCACTCGTCCATCATACAAAAAGAATAAAACTCTGAGCTAATGCAAGTTTATTTTAATTATTACAAATAACGTCTTGTCTGTGAGAAGTCCAGCTGATGTCAGAGGAGGAGCTTCAGCTGTCTCAACTGTTTTGAGCCAGATTGTCTTCATTTATCTGACTTCAATAATCAAAATGTTCATTTTTTTAAGTGAACACTGATTCAGCTTACTAACATACTTTATTTATTAAAACTTGCCTCAAACAAAATACTCTGAAATCTCTTCAGTTCCTTCAGAAATGTTGTTGTCTTTGCTTCAGCTGCTGGTTCTGTTTGTCTTTTAATGCTGCAGTTAGCTTTTAGCTGTGCTTCTGTCAATTTTAGCTTTTACGTACTGTTTTGCTGGTTTTAGCTTTTGTTCTGCTGATTTTAACTTTATCAGCTTAGTTTTTGCTTATTCAGATAATTTTAGCACTTAGATATTTCATTGCTCCCTGCTTTTCCTTGTTTCTAAAAGAAGGACGATGGATAGATGGATATACTTTGTAAGATGCTGGATGATGATGGATGGTGGATGGATGATGGATGCTGGATGATGGCTGTATGATGGTTGATGGATAGATGATGCATGATGGATGATGGATGGATGTTAGATGTTGGATATTGAATGATGATGGATGTTGGCTGTTAGATGATGTTATGTTGGATGTTGGATAATGGATGATAGATGTTGGATGATGTTATGTTGGATGTTGGATAATATTATGTTGGATGATGGATGGCTGGATGGATGTTGGATGATGAATGTTGGATGATATATGTTGGATGATGGATGCTGGATGTTGAATGATGTTATGTTAGATGATGGATGGATGATTGATGTTGGATGCTTGATGTTGGATGATGGATGTAGGATGATGGATGTTGGATGTTGGATGATGGATGTAGGATGATGGATGTAGGATGATGGATGTTGGATGTTGGATGTTGGATGTAGGATGATGGATGATGTTGGATGTTGGATGATGGAAGATGGTTCTGATGATCCATCTTTTGCAGCTTTTCAGAACTTCTTGTCTCAGCTGTAGTTTTTCAAGGAAAACGTCAAAATATTTGTTCTGGTAATAAACTCTGCTCTCTCTCTCTTTCCCTCACTCTCTCTGTGCGTGTGCATGCGTGTGTGTGCGTGTGCATGCGTGTGTGTTTTGTCCTGCAGATCCAACAGAAAACTCTCCGATGGACAAGAAGTCGAAGAAGTCGACTCCGACCTCAGAGAGTGAGTTTCCGAAATATGCAGCAGCTGCTTTTGTCCCAATAAGGAGCTGCAGACTGTTCACACACACACACACACACACACACAGCTGGAGCGTTTTATTTTAGTGTTTCTGTGTGTTGTTGGAAATGTCAGTCGGTTCGGTTCTGATTTCTGGTAGCTTCTCTGATCAGAACCTGACCCAAAGCTGCAGTTCTTCAACAAACGGGATTAACCTGTTTAAATAAAGCTTGAATGAATGAAAATTATATGAAGGGTTTGTGTGCGGGTTTTTGTCTCCCTGAGCACTGACTGCAGGCTCGTGAGCCTCATCCTTTAGAACCTGAACACATCACAGAAAACACAGTGTCCGACCCTTCATGGTCAGTTCTGCAGAACTAATCCAGTGGTCACCTGGTTTTTATGTTGGGGCGACAGCTGGAACCGAACCGGACCTGCTGATATGAGATTGTTCTGCTTTTTCATGGGTCTGTTGTCTAAGCAGGTTCAAACTGTAAGAAGTTATGTTGGTTCTGTTAGAACATGGTTTGTTTCTGATGCTCGGTGATCAGAAACAGGAAGTCCTCCCGAGTCCAGACCATCTAAAGTTTAAAGGTGTTCTGGTTCTGACTGTGTTCAGTGGAACCAGACTAATGTGACCTCTGTGATCAATTGGTGAGAAGAAGCTGGTCCGTGATTGGTCAGTTTAAAAACACATGATGGTTTTTAGACAAACACAACCGGTTCAGGTGGTTCTAACAGAATAGAACCAAAGGTTTGGGTCCTCGTCTTCATCTAAAAAGAACACAATTAACTTCCTGCTTCACCTCCTGGTTCAGGCTCCATGTTTGTGTCTTCAGTCACGCTCCTGACCTTTGACCCCTCCACCTGTGGACACCTGATAAAGTTATTTAAAAAATATATATATATAAATTAACAGGCCTGACTGCTGGGTCTGAGGAGACATGAGACCTGAGGTTTTGTTTTTACCAAGCTGTGATCTTAAGGATAATGTCAGGGTCCTTCAGCTCGTTTGTTTCCACAGCTCTTGAGAAGAAGTTGTTTTTAAGTCTCACAGTTCTGGACTGAATAATCTGGAATCAGAGGGTATTAGGTACAGCCTGAAGAGATAGTGGGCAGAGGGATCAGATCTCAGGTCTTAGACCTGCTCTGACATCAGGTCTCAGACATGTGGTTAATGGTAGGTAGGTGGATCAGATCTGGTGGCCATCAGTTCTTTGTACTGCCTTGATGACCCTCTGCAAGGCCTTGATGACCCTCTGCAGGGCCTTGAAGACTCTCTGCAGGGCCTAGATTATCCTCTGTTCTGCCTTGATGACCC